CGTAATGGCTTAGGCTAACTTTATTGGTTAAGTTTTATTGGTTCACTATATGCTTATATGTATGTTCTAAATGTATATGCTAATAATTATCCTACATATGTTATTTATATGCTAGAACTTATACTGACTGTTTACTTACTGATTCAATTATTTGTCTTCAAATTATTCCATTTTTTTTTTACTATTTAAAAATGATAATATGTAAACAAGAAAAAAATGTTCTTTTAAAACGGACCATATGGAACCAGCGTAGTATAAAACATTTACTTTTGACTTATCTTATCACAAGAAACCGGAAAATATAATATAAAACTTCAGGTTCTTAATCTTGACGACAAGGTTTTTATTTTAATGTTTTTCATTTTTTTTTGTGATTGAAAATTGAGATAGATAAGGTAAGAATCGAATTGTTTAATTAAGTAAATTAAGTGATAAAAGGGCAGTTAAGAATAATTGAATCCAAACAATTTAAAGAATTCAAGTTTGTAAGATAAGTAGGAAAATTGTGCCATTTAAACTTTTCAGATATTTAAAATTGGGAAGACGTTTTGAGCTCAAAACCGACCTATGCTTGTTTGGTTTTCGTATAGTCAAAGAATCGGAGGCAGTGAAGACTTTATAAGTAATGGTTTTATTCATAATGTCTGTTACAAATGGTATCTAAAATATAGAGTAATATACTATGGATAAATGGGTTGACTACAGGTTTCACTATGAGTTCACTCCAGGTCTCCTACATTGAAGAGTGTAACTTCAAGAATGTAACTACATGAGTGATTTGTTCTTAGGAGCATGGGGTTTATGTATCCAAGAATAGTGAGGGAGTGAAGGGAAGTCGGAAGAGGATGACAAAGGAAGTTATCGATAGTTAATATTCTTAAGATGAGGTCTGTGAGAAAGTACCCTTTTGCTGAAATCAGTTATTGTTCCCTAAGTCTTGATAATGGGTATTCTGTCCAGTCGGTGTATTCTAGAAAACTATTTCTAAGCTATCAGAGATAGCTTGACCTTGCTATCTAGGGATGCTTTGTTCTTTTATCCATTGATAAAAGTCATGAGAAACGACATGATTCACCAATTATGATATTTAACCAATAAAATTTAAACTAATATTATTATTATTTGTTACGGATTAAGTCCATTCCGTAACTGTACGCAAAACCAATATTTATTGAACTTAGAGCTTTCAATATCTATATTTTTTTGATACCAAAAACTTAAAGTAATCATTATAATTTTTCGTCATGAATAAAATAATTCATAAACATGAATTTTTAAAGTTGTGATAAAAATATCGAAAACTACCCGTAGCTGAAATCTCTCTCCAAATACCCTATTACAACCATATATTAATGAAAATAGCATCCAATTCTCTACTGAATGAAAACAAAAATATCGATTTAGAATATCGAGTTGTTTGAAGAGTTAAACATTAATTACAATTTAAACCTAATATAGTAAAAATAATTTACCAGTTATAAATACAAATAAAAATTATTTAAATCTCTCTCTAAATACCCTAATACAACCATACATCACTGAAAAAACATGACATTTACTATCAAATTATGAAATAATATTTGCGGACCTTTGAGTTTAATGAGATTTATTATAATGTAAGTCAAATATTTTTTTGCGTTTTGTGGAAAAAGTGTGCTTCCCGACATCGAAAAATATCTGGAGCTAAAATCTGTCACCAAATACCACGCTATAATCATACACTGACAGGCAAAAAATTCCACCCACTTGATTTTTTCATGTTTTCATCTAAAAATATTTCTACCACTTGTAAAAAAAGTTGTATTTGTATATAATACATGGTATTTGTAGATAATTCTTAGTATTTATGGAATTTTATAATCTTTTTTATCTTTAATAATCAAAATGTGATTGGGTATGAAAGATTAGAGAAAAAAAGTTGAAAAACGAACCATTATTATTCTAAAAGAAATTAATGACATCATCAATTAGTAGCGCGTGTTTCCTCGTCTTGTCTTCACTACTCCTTGAAGACGCCTCGCCATATTTTCCATCATTCGGGAAATGTCCCTTTGCTGGAGAATAGCCCATTCCTCCCGAAGAGCCCTTTCAAGGTCCTGCAGTGTATCAGAAGTCTGCACTATGCGGGCGACATGTGGGCGTGCATTATCGTGCATTAGAATAGAATGATCGCCGATTTCGTTGAGGATAGGCAACACATGATGTTCCAAAATCTCATCTACATAGCGAATGGCTGTCAAAGACCCTCCACGAACAACAACCGATTCTGTGCGGCTCTCCATTGGAATCCCAGCCCACACCATTAAGGAACCACGTTGGAAAGGTTGGCTCTGGGAAAAATTACAGGCTGCATATCTTTCGTTTCTTTTTCTCCACACCCTTTCACGCCCGTCTGGAGATCGAATAGCGAATCTTGACTCATCTGTAAAAAGTACAGCACTCAAGATTGCTCTGGTCAACTCTGGTCCTCTTACTGGACGGAAAGCCATTAATCCATACTCATTTAATCTTCTCCGAGTGGTACGTTCAGAAATTCGCACATCTCAAACTTTTTCGAGCTGATGAATCGCTTGAACAAAGGTAAGGTGCCGGTTTCATAAAATTCTCAAAGTCAAAAACCGGTCATCCTGTGGTTCTGTTACCCTAGGCTGTCCAGAACCGGGCCTTCTATTGTAAGAACCAGTTTCTCGAAAACGCCTGACGGCGTCTCGTAAAGTTTCATAAGGAACTCCCATGGCATTAGCTGCATATCTAATGGAACGTCCATCATCAATAAGTGCCATACCACGCGCAACATCCTCAGCACTAAGAGGCATTTTTAAACTTAATATTGAAAAAATTAAAAGCCGGTGACTAAGAAATGTGCTGCAAGAAACGGCACTGAACTAATGATACTGAATAATCATTTTGATTCCATAGAAAGTAAACATTGGAATCTAGAATCATTTCATTGAATTAAGGGTTATTGTCCTCTATATTAACATTCCTAATTGAAAACAAACAAAAAGATTAACTATTTATTCATTAAAAACAATTGACCAATCCAAAGCAGAAATATTTTTATATGAAAACATGAAAAAATCAAGTGGGTGGAATTTTTTGCCTGTCAGTGTATATTGATGAAAACAGAATAGAGTTCTTTTCCAAATAAGAAAGTGATATTATTGGACAAAAAGTCCGGCTGAAACATTTTTTGTTACTCAAAAAGAAAACAAATGTCCTGTATCTCCAGTTCATCTACTTTATTTAATAATGAAGTATCTTGAAATATCTTCTGAATTGGTAGTCTCCTACAAGATTGACATGGCTTAGAGGAACCGTTACATGGCGGATAAAAGCACCAAATCAGTTGTAAAGGTACCTTAATGTATACTAATAAATGTTAGCCTAGGAGCACCCTAAACTTTCTAAACAAATTCATGTATGTCAATAGGATCCAAAGTGACCTTCAAAATAAACAAATACCACTTATAATACCATCTGTTTTCCACTGTTAATTTCAATTACAGCTTTAAACTTATTAAATATACTACAAACCAAACATAGGATAGTATAAATATTAAATAAAATATAGTAAAATATTTATTGAATATATAACTAAAATACTATTGCGTATTGGATTCTATTGGATGAATTAAAATAAATATTTTTGGTTTATTATTTTCAGTAATGAACCCCTGTAATCGATAAGGAAACAAACTCAAAATTTTAGGTTTTACATTTCAAGATATGCAGCTTTTCGTCGGGATCATTGAACCGATTTTTTAAAGATATTACAAGAAATTTACAGGTCACCCTAGGATATTCCTAGAAACTCAACATTGCCATCCGCCGTTTCATTATAAAATGGCGGCCGAAAAACCTGTTTCTTACCCGACAAATTTATGTATCTTATTTCCACATCAGAAAATACAACGAACTGAAAATTCGAAGAAAGGAATTCGTTCGTCTGCCGTCCGCTGATTTTCTCTGTTAGACGGATTTATTTCAGATTTCACACAAAAGTCACAAGTCGTCCTGAAATGAACCTAGAAACGCGATACTATATACCCTACTATCATTTAAAACCCTTTCTGTACTACTGCGGTAAATAATTTGGGTATATTATAATGTATTTTATTTAATATCTAGACTGCCCCAAGTTAAGTTTGTAGTGTGTTGAGTTATCCGTACAGCTTTAATTGAAGGATGTTGAATTCAGTGCTATTTTGGGGAAAGTACTGTTACTTGGTCTACGGTTGTGCAAGGAGGAGATTTGAACGAGATCACGTTCAACCGCCAGGTTTTTTCCTTAATTATTTTAATTAAGGGTACCCACTTTATACAGGCTGGGTATACCCCAGGAGGGTCTAACCAACCACGGATCGCCTTATGGGCAATGAAACAGAATAAATAATTTTTCTGACAAGAGCCGGGTTTCGAACCTGGGATTGGAAGCTCAGTACTCTACCACTGAGCTACTCAACTCCCTTCACTAACAGTGAAGTAAATTTCGTTAAAAGTGATATTTTGTCGGTCATTTTGGATTTTAGCGTCTTACATGAGAATTATCAAAAATTTCAGTGGGCTCCTATGCTAACATTAATTAATGTATTCTATGGGATATTAATTCCAAATTTGGTGCTTTAATCCGTGATGTAACAATGACCTTACAATTTAGCCCTAAGCCATCTATCTACTATATCGTATTGTTCTGCCAATAAAACATCCCTAAGTATCAAATATCAATTGATTTCATTCAATGTGGATTGCAGGAGATGCCGACATGTAGCATGAAAAAAAATTACATAAATATTTCATTTGACATTCACCAAACTTTCAAAATCTTGTTGTTGAGGTTCTTAAAAGAGTATTTCATAGGAAATAGAAAAAATTACCTGCAGCAAATCATTGAATCCTAAATAAAATTGACTGATATATATCCAAATAATCTTCACAAGCGGTCGATAAATAGGCGTTCAAGGAAACATATTCTTCAGTTTTATTTATAAGCATACATTATCGTTATTGACTTAATAATTGACTCTTGATATCGAAAAGAGGAAAAGTTTACTGTGCAGTGATTGGATGCTGATAGCATGCTATAAGTAGGGGACTGAGAGTACTAAAGACCACTTACAGTTAGTTTAACAGATCACTGTCAACATGAAGATGGAGACTTTACCAACCCTTCTTCTGATTCTGGCCACAGGTTAAATTATGATTCATGACATGCTTACAGTATTTTATGATATAATTTTTGGGGCATTATTGAATGAAAAAGGTGGGGCCATAAATTATTTCTTTTTTATTTTTAAAAACAGTCTCTCTCCCTCTCTCTCTCTCTCTCTCTCTCTCTCTCTCCCTCTTTTTTTTTTTCTTCTTTCCCCCCGCTGTACCTTAGGGCAACCCTATACCAGCGGTACATCCAATTTTCTAACTGATATTTTTCAGTTTACGTATTTCAGTAGCCACGAATTTAAAGGGCTCGGTTACCAGGATTGGTAACCAAGCGGGCAGGTCTGCTCTCACTTTGATCCAAATTCTTGGGTCAAAGTGAGGCAAAATTCGGTCTTTTAGTTTGATTGGGGCATTAATTATTACGGGTAAACCTACACTAATGGGCTGCCTGCAACTGGAGGGCTGTTCCCACCAAACAGGACTCCAGTAACTTCCTACCTACTTATTGTGGGCCTATTACTAAGTTTATATATACTATTTCTAAATCTTATGATAACAATAAATTTATGTATTTGGTATATCACCGGTTTAATCTTTCCTCTCTTGCTATTTTTTCATGGAATATCCTCATGGCGTATTTCTTAAAGGCATCAAATATCTCAGATGTCTCCACAAGCTTGTCCAGGGACCGAGGAGGCCATTCCAACATGGAGTACTCTCCTGCCAATGCTTGTCGGGCGCCAGTGTGCATTGGACGTTCCAAAATCATGTGTCTAGCATCCTCAACAGCCCCGCAGTGACAATTCGGACTGACTCTTCTATGAAAAAAATGTAATTTTTCATTTATATCTCCAAGGCCTGTGAGGAGTTGAACAGTCCAGAAATCCGTCTCCACCCAGTCATTCTTGATTCTTCTCCTGACATTTGGGAAGAACTCTCTGCCATTCAGAAAGGACTAGTTCTTCTATTCTGTCGGCTACCTCGTCGTACCTTCCACTAGGGCACACAAAACAGCTTGTTCCCACATTTGCTGGCACTCCTCTCTTTATTCTATATTTGGCTATATTTGTATTTTCAGGTCTAAAGGCAATTGTCCTGTAATCACTTACAAAGCCGAAGTGGGTGCCGTTCTATACGCTTCTGTCACCAGTCGGAGAGATCTTCTTTGAGCTTGCTCCAGCACACTGATGTCTGACTGTCTCAGTTTCTGGCCCCAGACCGGCGCCGTATATAATGCAATAGGCAAGAAAGAAGCCTTATATAGCGTTTCTCGGTAACTATATTTGAGACCCCAGGTGGTCTCTGCCATCGTTTTGAGGCAACTGTAACGAACAATAGTTTTGCTCTTAATTTCTTTTAGGTGGTTAGTGAATTTACACCTCTCGCCCAATAGGGCTCCTAAGAACTTCACTTCCTGAGATGGTTTTATTAGGACATCTCCTACTATAACTTTACCATTTTTCCCTTCAAAAACAATTTATTTTCCTGGCACCATTGCAAGACTATGTCAGTGACTTCTGCTGCCCTTATTTCCAAATCTTGTCGTGATTTTGCCTCTATTCCAACAGCAAAGTCGTCCACGTAAGCAGATGGCGTATACCCGGCAGCTCTCAATTTAACAAGGAGAGGGTTCATGTTGATATTCCATAGGAGGAGTCCCAAAACTGATCCCTGAGCACAATCCCTCCGGACTGGCCTCGTTATTCTCCTTCCCGGAAGTTGATAGTAGACAGATCGCTTCGATAAAAATGATAATATGAGCCTGTATGGCTCCCTCTCCCTCTCCCTCTCTCTCCCTCTATCTCTCTCTCCCTCTCCCTCTTCCTCTCCCTCTCTCTCTCCCTCTTCCTCTTCCTCTTCCTCCCCTCTCCCTTTCCCTCCTCTCCCTCTCCCTCTCCCTCTCTCCCTCTCCTACTCCCTCTCCCTCTCCCTCTCTAGAACAACCCGTACTGCAAGCCCTTCGTATACGGGTAGATGGAACTCGTTGGTTCAACCCACTTTTCATTAGAAAGAAGAGATCTGGAAGGCCGCCAGAGAGGATAGAAGAGGATGTCGGCTGAAAAAAAGAGCAGGCTGGGTGCACAGCTGGAAAAAAAATACTATTTGGTCTGAAAGCAGTAGTGAGTTGTAATGCATGCGTTTCTACTCACTGTTGCATAACATCCGTATTGCCTTACCGACAGGTTAGGGTTTAAATAAATAGTACCTTAATATATTGGTCTGAACGATATTAATACATTTTTTATATATGCTCTATGCATTTGTTACTCTTAAAGCCACGGAACGCCAGTAAAATACTAAACTCTAATAAGTTTTAATACTTTTTAAAATCTTTTTCCAGCCCAATGGATCAACGGAAAATTCCTCGGTTGTTATGAAGATAATACAATACGGCTATTGCCAGACTTCCATATGTTTGTGGATAATTTAAATAGCCCTGCAAGATGTGTACACATATGTAAGCAGCTCCAATTCCGATATGCAGGAGTGGAGTATTCGTAAGTCACTTATTGCATTATTTAAATAATTTCCTCTTTTTTTTTCCTACCGGACACAAAAGCAGATGATAGATATTGCCCAAAGTCAAATCAAATCGTGTCATACGTCACTTTTTTTTATTTTTTTATTTTGTAGAGTAATATAACATTTTTTCATATGGACAGTGATTACTCCAAGCCAGGTTTGTTCCTCCTATGGAGGGAAAAACATAACTCCAGTTTAAAAGAGGAGGGCATAGCGACAACTACCTCCTTAACCGCGTCACTGCTACTAAAATTTTGTTTGTCTTTTTGACACAACGTTGTAATCAAATTCTGGAGTATTTTTATATGCATTTCCTTACCATCCGATATTTAATTTCGGAATAGCGGTCTATCACTATAGACTGTTGCGCCAAAACGGCTATAACGATTATTATGAAACTCGGCTAAAGTCTTGTCTTTGCAACAAACTGCAAAAAATGTTTCGATTAATTTGGAATTTTATTTGCGAATAACTCAAAAAGTCAAAAAAAACTTTATTGATTATACCTATGTTTGTTTGAAAGCTTCTTGAATTTCGTAAAAAAATTATTTATTTTTTTATAAAAAAAATTTATTTTCCAAACTCCAAACTATTCCAAACAAATTGTTGGATATCATATAAAAGTGCGTTTCATAAACAAGTGTTTGAAATTCTTAAAGAAAGAAACTTTAATCAATTCTTTTATTTATCAATTTTTTTTTTCAAATGCTTCAATTCATTCAGTTTAAAAACTACTACTGGATATTAGTTTTATAACATAAGATTAGTGTATCTTATGTTTACTGGTTGTAAATTTGGACTGGTCATTTCTTTTATATTCATACAATCCACATTGTTCTGTTTTTCAAATAAAATATATTTGTATTGACTGAAAACTAAAGGAGTAAAGGTTTAAATTATTTTCAAAAGAAGAAACAAAATTGAGATTGGTAATTTGCATCTTGAAAACTTTCAAATATTAATTTTCATAGCAATTGAAAAAAAAAAACAATTTTCGTAAAACAGGAGCTTTCGATTTTATTTCGAAAATCACAAATAGTTTGATAACTTAAACACAAGTACACCTATTTTCGTGTGTACTTCTACATAATGAAGATATAAAATAAAAGCACTTGAGGAGTTTTTCTTTGTTTATTCCTCATGGAGGCATTAAATCTTAAGGTTATTAATATGATCTTGAAGAGCAGGAATTCAGCCTTCCAACGGTTATAGAAACATTAAATTAAGTGTGTGTGTCATGGTGTGTGTGGGGATGTTACAGCAACATTTTGCTTAAAATCGGTTACTCAAAAATTGTACTTCATACCATCGGTTTTACACATTTTTACTGTATTCTAAAAAATAGCTATAAATATTTTCATAAATGGTCTTTAATATCAGCTAGATTCGATCCTTATTGATATCACTTGACAGGGCTTAAATGTCAGCTGTTCAAAATTTCTCCCTCCAAAGTACTATTGATTTGGTTTATTAAAAATAATTAACTGTTTCCCATTGTTATTAGTCATAAAAAAACCGTCCAACATAAACTATGAAAGAATTTGATAATTGACTAAAGAAGAAAAAAAAAAGGAAAAATAATTTGTTCAAGTTGAAAATGAATTTTCGTAAAGAATAATCCGAATGTATACGTACTCGTATAATGTATCGTTAGGAACCTGAAGATTTCAGAAATATTTTATTTTAGTCTCTTAAAGATTACTTATAATTTATTCATTCCATTTATTTCACAGAACTCAGTGTTACTGCAGTAGCGACAGACCCTACGAACGAATGAAGCGAGATATTAGTGAATGTAAAATGAAGTGCCCATTCAGTGAAGAGATTTGCGGTGGTCCAATGAGAATTTCAGTTTATTCCACTGATTCCAATGTCTACCCAATCACAGGTAACATTGCAAACTACTAGGATTAACCATATTCAATTAAATATCCGACTTAAAACTTGTATCATCGATTTAATTTTGTATTTTCTCCGTCCATCAATATTTTTATCTAAAATATTTCTATTTATAAAAGCAAGTATTTTTGATAGATTCACATGTCTAAAATAATAAAAACTTGTAGAAAAAAATAATGTTCTACAGTTTATAATTTTTTATTGAATTTATAATTTTAATGTGAGATTGCCATATCTTTATCACTACTCTAGTAACTAAAGTCTAGTTGAACAGAAATACTTCATAATTAGGTGTAGTAGTCAGGTGCCTTCAGGGACCATTGGCCGAATGGAGTGGCTGCTCTATGCGCGAAGTCCTGAGGACTCAGTGACAATATAAAATATCAATAAGTAGCAAAGTGGCAATACAAACGTCAACAAGTGACATGTAAAATGTGTCTATTTTAAAAATAAACCGTTTTAATTATATCAAGTGGCAAGCCAAAATTGTATCTCGTTCCATCCAAAATATTCAAGCACCTAGCTAGTACATTTTGTCTCATGTATCAGTGCATGTTAATGAGTCTTTATTTTCGTTCGTGATGTGGTAGGCACTCAAATACTAATTTAAATATTTGTAGATATCAATTTCCCAAACAATCCACCAAGATGTTTAAGTAGATACAGAAGGAGATGATAGGTTGGACAGCACTTCCCAATTTCTGTAGTCTGTATTTTTTTTTTTCATTAAAATTATTATATTATTATTAATCAATGTTATTGAAAGCAATTGAAGGAAGCTAGTAGACTGTTCTACATATCATGGGTGATAAATATTCAGGATACAGTCATTATAAAAATTTTTTAGTTGTGCCTAAGTTTCAAACCAAACATGTGGTTCATCATCAGGGCTGAAAATTTTAAAATACAATCAGAGATATAATATTAAACGATCGATAATGGTAAATAATAAACTATAGTGATTGATGGTACGTGAATCTTAACTACAATTGCAATTCTTAATATTACAAATGAAATATGTAAAAAGTTATACAAACTAAAAATAATGTACATAATCCATTTATAAAAATATGTAATATTTTCTCTTACTAACCGTGGTTCGAGCACTGAAGGCTTTCAAGTACTGACACATTTGGTAGGTAAGTGAAAGGGTCGGGGGAGGATTTATCATCTGTCCTTTTTCAGATAGCAAAAGGACTATATAGGTAAATATAGTCAGAGGAGGGGGGGGGGAGGGAAGTAACATTTCTGTTTGTAGAATGTAAATAATTTGAAGGAAGCTAGTAGACTGTTCTACATATCATGGGTGATAAATATTCAGGAAGCAGTCATTATAAACGTCGGCACAAATAAAAAGTTTTATGACGACAGCGTCCTGAATATTTATCACCCATGGTAAATAATTTGCTGACTAAATATTCAAGATGTGTACATAAGAAACAACGCAAATCTTGTACACATCTTGAAAATTTCGCCAGCAAATTATTTATATTCTACAAACAGAAATGTTACCTCTCTCCTCCCCTCTGACTATGTTCACCTACCTTTTGCTATCTAGAGAAGGACGAATGGGAAATCCTCCTCCGACCCTTTCACTTACCTACCGAATGTGTCAGTATTTGAAAGCCTTCAGTACTCGAACCGCGGTTGGTAAGAGAAAATATTAAGACTTTTTATAAATGGATTATATACATTATTTTTAGTTTGTAAAACTTTTTACATATTTCATTTTTTTTTTTTTTTTTTTTTTTTTTGTTTATTTAATGGAATTTACAACTGTATACAAATACAACAAGTAAATATGCGCAAATATAAATAATGACATGTACAGGCTTGAAGAGTTACTACCCAGTGGTAGCACTCTCTAAATAATTTTAAGTAAGAAGATCACGAGGCCATCTTCTTTTCAGACGCCTAGGAGGATTATCAGGAATCGAGAAAGAAGCAAGAGTGGAAACAAGCGGATTTGGATGGGACTGAAGTTTATCATGAAAGGATAGATATCTGGCTCGAGCTAAATCAGCGACATATGGTACATTAAGGTCTTTATGAATGGTTTTATTTGTGACAAAGTATGGAGCATTGAGGATTTTAAGGAGGATTTTGGATTGTAAGGATTGGATACGATAGGAATTCGATGGTTTGGTGGAGCCCCAAAGCTCAACTCCGTATGTCCATATAGGTCTTATTATAGTTATGTAGATAAGTCTTTTGTAATTAATAGAAAGTTTGGAGCGTTTGTCTAGTAAGTGTTGGAGCAGTCGGAAACGTCGAGCAGTTTCTTGTCGTTTCAGTCTAGTATGAGGATTCCAAGTAAGACGTTTATCCAAATGGAGTCCTAAGTAGCGGATTTGCTCAACGGAGGGTAAAGGTGATTTGATGGGATTTGTTGGAATTTATTTTTATTCTCCAATTTTTACACCATTCTTCAAGGCTTGTGATATGTGATTGAAGAGTTTGGGATGCAATTAAAGGATCGTTATTAACAGATAGCAAACATGTTTCATCGGCGTAAGTGGTGATGACAGTGTCAGGATGGGTTGGGATGTCAGCTGTATAAACTGTGTAGAGGATGGATTTCATTTTTAATATTTTTTATTGTAATAAGAGTCAAGATTCATGTACCATCAATCACTATAGTTTATTATTTACCATTATCGGTCGTATAATATTATATCTCTGATTGTATTTTTAAATTTTCAGTCCTGACGATGATTCACATGTTCGGATTGAAACGTAGGCACAAATAAAAAATGTTGTAATGACTATAATGTTATATTTATCACCCATGATATTGAAAACAATGATAATTGTTATTTTCAAATAATAAAACACAATTTCTTGGTTGCTGATATTCAGACAACTGTATTAAAACAATATGTTCAACTGTGCCAACTTTTGTACAAAGTATTTCACCTTTTGCTCCATAGACCCTGGGACATATATTGGTTGCTATTTGGAATCCGGCAACGATAGAACTCTCAACCATTATCAGTTGAATTTATTTGAAATAAACAGTCCGGAAAGATGCACACGCAGCTGTACCGCTCTTGGCTACATGTATGCAGGCACAGAGCCATAGTAAGTTGCAACACATGGAATATCTCACCTTTTTATAATGATATCAGATAACTTTTTAATTTCAAACACTTAATGTTCAAATCAGTATGGACTATTTTATGTTACATCAGATATACTTATCATTGCGATATTTTATTTGAAATGCAGCCCATTCGTAATTGTGGATATGGTCACAAGTTGTTTTCATATGCGTGTTTTCAACTCCAGTAGCACACAGATGAAGATAAGCTTTCTGCTGTCTAATCTGAAGTTGGCTTCTGAATTTTTGTAACTTTTTTTTTATTGAGTAATATATGAGCTTAAATAACTAAGCCTTACATCATTTCCTTAAAATCCTATTTTTCAAATCATCATATCCGTAAAATCATAGACCGCACTTGTGTGTGTATGTGAAAATCGGCTAACTGGAAGTGCCTCTTAATATCATCCATTTTCCATTTGGCTATAAAGATTTTATTAAACTCCCTAAATCAATGTAAAACTCAATGGTCTTTAATATCAGCGAAGTCTTATTCTCATGGACGTAGATGGGCGTAGCATAACAGGCTTTAATACTTGATATTCCAAATTTCTTCCTCTTAAGTATAGAAACAGTCAAGAAGTGTTTATATGTATATTTCGTATACTTACATATTGTAATGTGTTTAAATGAAGTTAAAATAAAGGAGAATCAGAAACAAAACAAACCTCTAAAATACCTTAATTTGGTTTGTTTTGAATTATTAACGGTCCCTCATTGTTAGCAGTAATCGGTAAAACGTTCAACACAAACTAAGAAAGAATTCGATAGTTAAATAAAGGAGAAAAAAGGAATAATGTTTTTTAGGTTGAAAATGAATTTACGGAAATCATAGTCAAAACATATACGTACAATATATTGTTGAAAATTTTAGAAAAACAATATTTATCATAAAAAGTTATAAGATGTAATAACGATAAAATTATAAATAATAATTTCTGAAACCCTTAATTTCTTTAACGGAAATTATATGTTCCCAAGGAAATTACTAAAAGGAATTTCCAAACTAAACGTAAACTTTTATAATTATTTTTAAGTATCAAAAAAATATAAAAAATCTACCGAATCAAGGAATTGTTTAAAAACCTATTTCATTGTACTTGTTTGGAAGAAGAAGTGAAATATAAAAATATTTCATGGATGTGTAAATCATATTGTTTATAGCCTTAAATGCATTTACTGTAGGTTACTAACTCTAGATCCGATATTATATTTAAATAATCAGGTATCTATCGTCGTTTTATCACGAAAAATCATGTAATATTTTAGAAATTTAATTTGTGAATAATTTGATAATTTTTTCTCCTCTGTAAAATTACAACATTAAGTGTGAAACATTAATTACAACTTAGCATTAGTGTGACAACATTTGACCAATCGAAGGAAGGTAATGAAAATCTCGTGACTACATTTTAGTAAACATTACAATGGAAAAATAAGAGTTTAAGAACTAATAATAGTACAATCTATAATAATTTATAGGTTAAATATACGAACGTACTTTCAAATTACTCTAGGCATAGATAACTCAGAGAGTGGAATTATGTGGTTAACAAAAAACGATGGAGTTACAATGTTTTTGTTTCCTTCCGTCGATATACTAAATAGCGATTGTGTTATTTTAATGACCTTAATGAGTTGTTGGAAGTTAGCTGTAAGGTTTAGCTCAGTTAAAAATGTTCACAAATTTTGTAATAGCCCAATTTTGCCAGAAAATAAATTATATTCAAAGTAGGGCGGTAAATGAAAGTTGTATTTGCGCACATCAGATTTTTATTTTTGTTTACAATTGTTTTTATTATTGATACCTGATAGTTGGAGTGTCTGATGTCTTAAACTTAATCTATTGTTGATTAAATGTTAAAACTAAATAAAATTGGGTTCTTATAATCAACAACTAAAATAAGGCTGTTTATTATAAATTTTATTTTAGTTATATTCCATTCTTCTAGAACTTGGTTTTAAGAAGCTGTCCAATTAGAATTAATCTGAGTCTTATGTCCCAGAAGTATACTTACCATTATTGAACATAACATAACAAATACTTCATTGATTAACTGAATGTATTAAGTTCCTAATAATAATTGTAAGCTCACTTATCTAGTGATCAGTGCTTCTGTGGAAACACAAAGCCTGCCAACGAAAGGAAGACAGAAGAAAGTGAATGTAATGTCCAATGTCCTGACAGCCAAGAGAAGTGCGGTGGTAATGGACGGATTTCAATATACAGGACATCAGTCTATTCAAATGCAGAGTCAATAGTAACAGGTATGTTTGCTTTGATTTTTATAGAATGCCTCTCGATATTATACTAGAATTTAAGTATTAGTATAGTAAGATTAATGATTGAGCCGAAAAATTAAAATAAAATCCTGCAAATTATTATATTACGTACAGTACCTACTCAAGATATTCGGCGTCCCGGGCAATGGCGTAATCTACCCCCTCTAAAAAAAATTAAATTAATTCCTTTAGCTGTTTTATATTACGCAGTATTTGATTATTATTTCATTCGATATTTTTTCTTATACAGTTACTTTATTGATAGGCTAAAATTAATTATTTTAATACGGTTGTATTTTTTTTTTAATTTCTGACTATTGACGAGCGTCCATGATGATCAGCGCCCCTGGAGGTCGGTGCCCCGTGGCAATTGTCCTGGTTTCTCCACCCAAGTGGAAATTTTTCATTACACTGTTAAAACTAAAAAGTTAGGTTTTGATGGAGGAGGAAGAGAATATGTTGTGATAATATTTTTTAAAAAATTCCTTGCAGTGGAAATGGATTTTCAGAGAACATCAGGGATATCAATGGTCGGACGGATCAGAAATATCAGCATAAAGTAAAACAAAATATATTAGAAGGGGTAGTAGGAAAAAGACAAATATGATATGACCACGTGAGTAGGACACCAAAGAATAATAAGATACCAAAGATAATAAATAATAAATCAAAGGGCAGAGGGTATAAGAAGGAGAAATGGACTCCCAGTTTGATGGAGGGATAGAGTGTTGGAAATTATGGCAGGTAGGGGACTGTTGGAGGATACGTTGTACCGGCAGAGATGGAGGGACTTGCTGTGACAGGAGTGCGGTTAAGAAGAAGATTGTATTAAACGAATTCCTAAGAAAAAATATATCTTAAAACTATAAGTAATAGTCTGAAAGTATTGATTCATTTTTAATTTATCTACAACTTTTCATTTTCAAGCTAAGCTGCTCAAACGTAAATTATTTTACAAGACATTGACATAGCTAAACGGAGTTGAATACGGTAGACTTAACAGAGGAATAAAACGGAATGAGGAGAAGGGGATAAAATATGTCATAAAGAAAAGACACTGAGGAAGATTTCGGTGATAAAGTTTGTTGGATGATAGAGAACAATCGAGGATTTGGATCTTATAGATATCATGGATATACATAGATATACAACTGTCATTCCGGCTGACCCGATAATGACAGATGAGAGTACAGTTTGGTAAAGAAACAGAAGAAAACGAGGTGTATAGTTTCAATCAGGTTTGAAAATTTTGTGATAATACCATACATGTTTTTGGTATTATATAATGAAAGGAATGTGCAGTTAATGCAACCGGTGGTTTGGGAATTAGACACGAAAAGGATATAGGAGAACGTAGTCAGCATTGGATGAGGAGAAACTGGAACAAAAATAATACATTACATCAAGCAACATAAAAAATAACATGAACAAAAAAAAAGAAGAAAAAGTAGGTAACTTGAAAACGTCTATTTGGGAACAAATTAATTAATGATTGAAATATCTAAAAAAACAAAGAATAGGTTGAAATCAGCCCATTGTCTGGTTTGATCTAGCTTTAATTAAGCTAAAAATTAGATGAAAACTGAGCGGTCTTTTCCCCGTAGCTCTTCTGTCCGGCAAGTGGATATTTATGGAGGTTATTTATTCGCTCAGATAAATCCAGTGGCATATGTATAATAATTGTTGAAAGGGCTTAGTTTCTTTAATTATTGAATATTGAGGGTAATTAATAATGTGAGGAAATTAGCCCTTCAGACAATTAATGTATACTTTACTCTGATTGATTTCGTGCAGCTCATTCGAATTAAAAACATTTTGGCATAGATCTTTGTTGTTCAAAGGTTCATTTTTAAGTATTAAGGAAAGTATAAAAATTGTTTGAATAAGCCATATGATTAAGATTTTTCACAGCTCGTATATCAGTTTCAGATGAACGGTTGAAGAGTAACACTATTGGCTGTTTTGAAGATTCTGATAACCGAATCCTGTCAGAGTATTTTTCTTGTCTTGATGTTACTAACAGCCCCAAGAACTGTTTGTATGTGTGTCAACAGTTCCAGTTTAAATATGCAGGTGTGCACAATGGGTAAGTTAATAAATAAGATTATTTCGTTTCAAATTGCTTCATCTAATACTTTTTATCTTCAATATTGAATCACTTTTATTAAATCAATCGCCTTTTTCTTTTATAATGATATTTAATTTTTTTCAAAATAGAGGTCAATTTCAATCACTAAGGAATTTAAAATAAGAATCGTTCCCAGTTTCATAGTTATGGAAAAACAAGAGGTTTTATTGTTAACAAAAAAAAAAAAACTTACATACTATAGATTCGTTTTTAGTATTGCTAAAATTCAAATTCTGAGAGAGGAGGGCCCACTTGTGAACCAGTTGATTTCTATATATCGAACTAAAGGTAAATGATCTTTCAATACTATCCTCCTAGAAAATTGAAAACATCAATACTTTACTTTAAGCTGACTCTGCAAAAATCTTAAAACTACTACCTAATGATTATCGGCTCATGGCAGAAAGCTTATTTATTGTGTTTAATTGATCGTGGGGCGATCCTGGGGTAGGGAGACTCCCCTCTGGGGCAAACCAAGCCTCTACAAAGTGGGTACCCTTAATTAAATGATAGATTATGGGAAAAAACCTGTCAGTGGAGCGTGATCCTGGTCCGATCCCCTCCCTGCACAACCGTTGCCCTTGTAACAGTACTTTCCCTAAATAGTACTAAACTCAAGACCCTTCATGGGTTGTAAAGGTACAGTTTTTTTTTTTTTACCCTCACTTTATATGGGGCAAAATTATATGTTTTGAAAATCTTTTGCTACTCAATTACAATAATATTTATCATATATTTTAAATAGTTTATTGTACTCGGAAGGTTTTAAAACAACAACGAAAATCAGTAAGGGTAAGCACTCTTATTAAGTGCTTTTTTTTCGGATTAAAATTTGTGTCTATGAAACTAAAAATATTAGAATGATTACTTATTTCAATACTTTGGATTTTATAATGGCATTTAATAGTGACTTGAGTTCACTGGAAAGGTATATGTTAAGTTGGTTAAAGGGTGTATTAGGTTGGTTCATTTTAGCTAAATTCAACCCGATTATCAATTGAGACGTTACAGTTGTGACAATATTCACTAACACGTCCTCTATTTTGTTAGTATATTATTGTAAATTGCACACTTGACTACGTATAAATACTAAAAATTTGTCCGTGAGTCCGTAAGTGATAATGGTTACCTCATCCCTAAGGGCGGCTGTGATAGTGCTTGGAATCGGCAGTGATAGGTTCAAAAATACACCAAAATAGTATAAATTCACTTTTTTCTGTATTATATAACAATGTAATCTTTTATAACTAATAAGATATAAACGTTTATGTAAGAATCGACTTTCGAGCTTTTTCTGTGTATCTAATAGCAAAAAAATAACAACCTTACCCAACGCACTACATCACAAAGTCGCCAGGATTATATAAAATTATCTACGTACATTAATCACTGCTAATTAACAAGTAATATTTAACATATAACGAGGAAAAACATTCATTATTCTATCTGTACATATATAACAATAATTATTCAAAGGTATAAAATAAAAATAGTTACTTTTGTCTCTTTAAAAGTAATGAATGCCTCTACTAGCTTTAATGTCGCTTATTTTAAATAGGTTCAGACAGGCACAACACTCCTTCATCCCTTTCTTCCTTATATACCTACCGGCTATACCTTATATTTAGTTTGGCTAATATGATGACTGTCTCAACCGTACCCAATCTTCCCTACTGAAATGATATGAATCCAAAAAAATCTCTTAAAGATCGAATTAGAACTTTCTATCTTTGTCAACTTTATGATTTCGCTATCAAAATTAGAATAATTAATTCATTTTAATTATTCATATATTTTTAGTCGAATTATACATATCCCAACTATTTTGTGTTTAAATTTATATCTTAAATGGAGATGATGAGATGTGGGAACATAGAAATACGGTAATCGTTATTGCCAAATGTTGTGAGAGTAAAATCAATCATTTTATGATTTAGTGAAAAATTGAATTTCCGCCAAGAGCAAAATCATCAGATCTTGTGGTCTGTTAGATCTCAAAGTACTTTTAAAACCTTCCCTTGAAAAATAACATCCCAAACACATGTAATTCCAAAGTAGATGAAAACTGACAGGTCCTACTTTACTGATAAACACTTCAAAGTAAATCATAATAATACCTATTCATCTATTTTTCTCAATCTGCTAGTGTTCCTCAAGGTAGTATCCTTGGTCATATCCTTTACCCAGTTTATGATGATGACACATGTATCCTATCAGTTAATAACGATCCATCAATTGCTTCCAAAACTCTTCAATCACACATCACGAACCTTGAAGAATGGTGTCAAAACTGAAGTATTAAAATAAATCCCAACAAATCACCTCTACTCTTCGCCATAAACCTATGACTTCCTGTCCTACAGCACCCTTTAATGACACCCCACTTATCCCTGTTGAACAAATCCGATACCTAGGACTCCACCTGGACAAACGTGTCACTTGGAATCCTCATATAAGATACTGCTCGACGCTTCTGCTTATTCCAACATTTACTAGACAAACGTTCTAAACTTCCAATTAATTACAAAAGACTAATATACTTAACTATAATAAGACTTATTTGGACTTACGGAGTTGAGCTATGGGGCTCCACTAAATCATCAAATTCCTCTCGTATCCAAGCCTTCGTAATATCCTCATTGCTCCTTACTTTGTCTCAAATAAAATAATCCCTGAAAGACATTAATGTTCCATATGTTACCGATTTGGCACAATCCTTCCATAATAAACTTCATAAGCATCCGAATCCTCTCGTTTCTAATCTTGCTTCCTCTTCGATTCTTGATAACCCTCCGATGCGTCTGAAAAGAAGATTGCCTCGTGATCTCCTTATATAGACATATTATTAGAGTGCTACCAGTGGGTAGTTTCTCAACAACATGTGATTATATTCCTAGAGTGCACATTTACTTGATTTATATATATATATATATATATATATATATATATATATATATATATTGTAAGACAGCTGTAAATATCTTGAATAAATAGTTTAAAAAAACATGACGCTTAAAAAAATTAATTGCTATAATTTTTTTTTTTATGTTTTCATATTTTATTGTAGGACTGACTGCTACTGCGGCAACGTAATGCCTAGTCCAAGCAGGAAGAGAAATGAAAATGAATGTCAAGTTTCTTGTCCTAACAGCTCTGAAAGGTGTGGTGGCAACATGCGTACTTACGTTTACTCAACTCAAAAGTTTACAACTGAATCAAATTCAGGTAATTAGCCATTTCATATATTAATTAATTCATTATTGAAGATTTTAGAATCAAATGAAGAATGCTTGGATCAGTTCTATTACAACTCGGGAATTTTTCGATCGTAGTTCTTGTAAATTTCTCAGCAAATAATTAACACAAAATTATAAAAATAATTTGTACATTGAAAAATCATTTAAAATCGTTCACGTTCGGTTTTGATATCATCAAAAATTTTCTTCGCGTTTTTCAAAATATTGTTTGATTATTCCACATTGTGTCCAAATTTAAATTAAAACATTAAGTTGTTATATGATTGAGTAGAAATACCGAGGAACTTAAGAGTACATAATGCCAGGATAACATTTAGATTGCATTGGAGATGCTTTACTTCACATACATGAAGTTATATTTCCATCCAGTGATTTCAGAAGCTTTACATAAGTATATAAGAAAAACTTGTGTTCCGAATCGAAGCTCTGTTAAAAGCATTTTTTTCAAAAGCTAATTTAGCACACACTTGCAGTTCAAAGATAACCGACCATTTTGAACAAACAACTTATAATAACGAAAAGTGAAATTCGTCACATCTAGATAAAATTTCTTTAATGCACACACGCATATATATATATATATATATATATATATATATATAATTTCAATTTAAATTAGGTGAATTGAACTTACAATATTCAATAACAAACAAGAAGTTATTAAACACATTAAAATGTTAAGTAAATTTAAAAATGTTAATTTACATTTAAACAAGGATGTAGCTTTTTGCTTATACTTCTTATTTTCGTGATTATTTTTATGGTTTTTAAAATTGCTATACAAATCAATATCATGATTAAAAATGTTAACATACAATAAGAGGATTCGCATGGAACATGTAAAACATTGAAAATTTATTTATTATTAATATATTACAAGGGGTGGTTACGGACATGGGGTCACCGAAATTAATGAAACCTTTTTTTGGCGGAACTAGTTAGAAAAATACTAGACCCATGTCCAAGTGCTCTCTTATCATGCGTCCAACGAACCGAGATAATATATTTTATAAAACATTAACATTTTTTCATATCATTATTTTCTTCCTTTGCTCTGCATAGATTTTTAGGTTATATCAATCGATTTGTTTTTATGTGTAAAAAAAAACATATTGCTGGTTGTATAAAACGAATTCAAATATATAATAAATTGGAAAACCCAAAGTCGTTTCCAGTAAAGTGGACTAAATAAATTTTAATCTCGAAAAATACATTCAGATGAAAAAAAAATCTTACTATAAAATCAAGTACAAAAGATTTTATAGTAAGATTTTTTTTCATGCCGTTTACTAACGTATTCATAACTTCTTAGGACTTTTGTTTTTAATCCAATGTTATTTATGAATGTAAACATAGAACCATAATACTCAATGCCCTTAATTATGGTAATTGTATTATTATTATTCAAATAAAATTCTAATTCTAAGCTAATTCAATATTACTAAAACCGTTGGAAAAGTTGAATTATTGCTCTTCGAAACCATATCAATAACTTTTAGATTTTTGGCCTTTAAAAGAAATAAATAAAGAAAAACTTCTCAATTTTTTTTATTAATTTCTCCAGTTCTAATTTGATTACGAAGGTCTACTATGCGACATTTGGTTTAATTTGTAGGGCACTAAATCCCTTTTTATATTCGTGTAGATTTATGTTGAAGTAATAACAATTTTGATTTTCGAAAATAAATCAAAGGATCCATACATGTCTTACACAATTTTTTTTAACTCCATTACCATGAAATTACGTATTTAATATTTTTTTCGAGGTGCGAAATACAAATCTCAATTTTGTGCCTCCTAAAAAATTTGTACACTCTTCGGTCGGTACAATTTTTATCGATATTGTACTCATACCATGGCTGTATACCAAATATAATTTTTTTTTTTCTCTGAACCTAATGGGTGTCTAGGGTAAAATTGCATGCATAAATCCTGGTCAGGATTCGGTTCGAAAATAAGAATATAGTATGTATGGTTTATAGTATATACCTGTTTAGGCAACTTTCCAAATTTTAAATTAAGGCAAGGCAAACAACTCTTATGAGTTCTTAATAGGCGATATTCTACTTATTAATGCAGTGGACTGTATATTAATGGATTGGTAGATTATATGAATTGTGCAAAAACAGTTTAACATTTTTATGCTGGCTTAGGCATCCTATAGTTACCTGAGGGCCCTCAAGTCTGATAGTCTTGCCTCTGTGGATATCATTGCTGGAATGGAGAGAGCGTACCCTGAAGGGGTACGGGTTAAATCTTATCATTTAGATCTTCTGATCTGTTGTACTAGATAGACCCCTGCATTTACTCCTTCATGTAACATTGTTTGAGAGAATGAGAAGGAATATATACTATATAGGAATGTGAGGTTGCACTGTGAATTGTACTAAATTGTGCAGTGGACTAATTGTTCATTGAAAAATCTCATATCGATAAACGATTGATGAAAAAGGAAAAAGGTCCAGTCAGGTAGCAGCAGCTCGAGAAGGACGCTGGAGAGAAGAGAAGGCACTTGAGGTCGGGACACGAAGACGAAAGGACGTTACCTGAGAAGAGAAACCTACTACACTGAAGACTTAGATTTTCAAGCCTACAGTTATAAAAGACTTTAATAGATTCATTTATACAGTTGTAAAAATAAATTGTTTTGTTAGACAGGAGTGAAAAGTCATTTACTTATTTAGTTGTCCTAAAGGCCCCACAATCGGAGAATACCAAACCACGTGAGTCAATTCATTCAAAGTGTATTTACTCAGCTCAGTCTCACATTTCAGGTATATATATTCTTATTATTTCTTTTCACTCAATGTCACAAAAGTATTAGGTTCCCAAATTCCCAATACAGTTAAACACCATCAAAAAGTCTACAGGCAGTGCCGGGATTTTGTTTTAATATTCACGAGTGTAAATAACCAAGTCCCCGATAAAAGGAAGGAATATTTATAATTCCCGCCAAAAGGAATATTAACAATTAACATGTTATTTACACTGTCCCCACCACTCACCGTAACGAGAGAATTGGGAACTATGTTTGCACAAACAATACCAGTAGCGTAAATCTCCTTAATACGACCTCTTAGATCCTTCAACAATTTCCTCCTAAACCTGTCAGTTCCTCACTTACATAAACAATAGTACCTACGAACCATCCACTTTCCACTTTTTTGGAAACATTCCACTATTATTATGACCTCCAAAACTCCATTGATCACCAAAACCTTACTATCCTCATCCTTCTAGATTTTTCCAAAGCGTTTGATACAGTTGACCATAACATCCTTCTTACTAAATTGCAAAATCTTCCTCTATCCAACAGTGTCCTGCGTTGGTTTAAATCCTTCCTTTCCGATCGATCCCAGTATGTAGTCGTCCCAGATCAACCTCCTTCAAAGACACTTCTCCTCTCCTATGGTGTGCCTCAGGGTTCCTCCTTGTTTCCTACTCTGTTTGCTATTTACATTAATGACATTTTTTTTTTTTTGTCCTCCCCTTCCTCGCCGTTAAGGCTATACGGGGTTTTCCCGGGCCAGAGGGTGTGGGCGGGGATTTAAAAGACCCCCTTGGCACCGGGATGCGAAACATTAATGATCTTTCCCTCCTGACCCATCACTCCCAATACCAGATTTATGCTTTCCAAATATACATTTACGATTTCCAAATATTCCTGTCCTTTCCCCCTTCTGACCTATTAGCCGCCACAAAAAAGCTTCAAGAAGATTTAAATAGAATATATGACTGGGCAGGGGCTAACATGCTGAAGTTGAATGCGGAAAAGAGCAAGGCAATCCTAATAGGCTCCAATCACCTCCTCAAAACTGTTCCTAACTTTCCAACCCTGTTCCTACATGATAATCCCATTAAATTTTATCCCACCAACAAAAACCTTGGGATAATCTTTGATCAAACCCATTCCTGGTAAAAACATGTGTCCAATATCTCCCGACGTACCTTTTCCACCCTAAAATACTTAAATAGCCTGCGAAACCTTTTTCCTTTTGAAATCCGTAGACTCCTGGTCACCTCCTTAATATTTCCCCACTTCGACTATGCTGCACGGTATATGGAGGCGTCTCTGGAGATCTCGAGGCAAAACTAAAACGTTTGATAAATTCCTTTGTACGATTCATCTTTGTACGATTATTAGATCGTTCTTTATTATTTTTACTTCTTGTTTATTTTCAATTTTTTATTTGTTATTATTAACTGATATAAATGAGAAAGTAACTAATAATTTCTTTTATTATTTTTTTTATTTATTTATTTTTTCACTATTTAATCAAACTATATTCCTGTTTATGTATCTCTGAGGCTCCTTAGCCCACATTTTTGTCTCTCTGTATTATTCTAAAGGGACTCGTCCCAGAATAAATAAAGCATTATTATTATTATCCTATTTCCAAACCAGGCACACCTGCCAACAGCTTGAATTCCTACAGACTATTTATTCTACTTTTTTCGATTATTTGTTTTCCGAAATAAACTAAACCCGGAATAATGACTAATTCCCCCAAATTAAATTAACTGTTTTTAAATAGTTATTTCCCTTCTGGCTACGCCCTTGTATCACTCAATAAAATAACTAATACTACAATCTAATGAATGATGACTTGTTAATACAATTTATAAATGTGACTGCTTAGTTAGCATATGTTTTTTTTTTCCAGCGTTGAGGATCGGCTCTTCCGAAAAGCAGGCTGCTGTAGAACAGGGAGCAGTCAACGGTCGTCATCAGAGGCCAGCAGTTATGAAGTAGACCTCACAGATCGCTTCAGTTTTCCATCATCCACCACTTACCACTTTTTCATTTCATAGTTAAATAAAATTATAATTTAGAGAAAGGTCTTTAATAATGGCAGTAGTAATGTTATATACTATAACCATATAATTAAATTCTGTTTTTTTTTTTTTAAGTTGTCTCCATTACCCTGCACCACTACCACTTGAATCGTAAGAATTAATCATTAATCAACCACTAATATAGCAGAAAAAAAATACAAACAATTAATTTTTGGCCAAATAAAAAGTTTGATCACGGTGTATGTGCCTCATTTAATTGAGCTTTTTAAGTAATCCTTAACTTGTAAATTTTCCATCTCCATCCATTCTTAAACATATAAGTTTGTCGATTTTTTGAAGGATATGGTGGTTTTTGTTTATTCTTATTTTCGGACTTCAATGGGACAAGTAAAGTTAGTTTTATATTCATACAGTGCTGACCCAAGACCGGCACATAACGTCGTCTTCCCTCTCCCAAAAAATGATTAAATTTATTTCTTAACCCGTTTCATATTATGTAATATTGGAATTTTATTTAATTCAACATTTTTCTAATACAGTTGCTTTATTGGTAAGCTAAAATTAATAATTTTAATACGCTTTGTATTTTATTTTTGAAGATCAGCTGTTTTTAACGATTGAACAGTGCGGTTGCTAAAAAAATTCTTCTTCTTATAAATTATTGAATTCTTGTATTTGTTATGTGTCTTATAGTGAAAATGTGTTCTCTTTAAAGTCATAATCTGTTTGTATAGTTTTTTAAAGTGAAAACAGACAGTTTACTTATGAGTGCACGCCAGTTAGCTGGCTCGAGTGGACTGTCGGATCAGGCCGTTTTGTCAAAACTGCTGAAGAGAAAAGTAAGATCCAATTCAAGTACTTCATCGAAAGACGGTACAAATGAGAAAAAGAGACCGAATTCAAACAATTCTGTGATAAAAAATACACCAACAAATCCTAACCAAAAGCAAACATATGTTAATTCATATAACCTCTCTAACTCCACGAATACTGAAATGAACAATTCAATTATTGAAAATAATAACTCTACGATACATATCATTGAATGTATACTAGAACATGATGCTAACAACACTGGGGTGCCAGAAAATGTTGTTCAGAGCTCAACTGCAACAAATACGCCAACAACAATAAATAGTATCCCTAACGTTCCGGTCAGTAATAGGTTTGAATCTCTTTCTACCGAAATGGAAGACGAACCTGACGAAACAACAGTTGCTCATCAACCACCTCCAATTAAAATAAAAGGCATAACAAACTTCCAAACTCTATGCACGAATTTAGTAAGCCTTTTAGGAGAAAATAATTTTGAATTTTTTTCTGACAAATCGATTGTTACATTAAAAATTAAAACAAGTGAAGCCTATAGAATCTGCATTAAATATTTAGAAACCAATAATTACAACTTTCACACTTATCAATCTCAAGAAGACAAACCATATAGGTTTGTTATTAGAAATCTTCATTATTCAACACCACACGAAATGATAAGATATGACCTTGAAAGAAAAGGATTCAACATCCGTCTCATCTCTAATGTGTTACACCCGAGATCAAAAGAACCACTCCCACTCTTCTTTGTTGACTTAGAGCCAGCTCCAAACAATGCTGAAGTTTTTAATATTACTAATTTGGCTTATACAAAAGTTAGGATTGAAGAACCATAAAAAAGAAGAAATATTGCTCAATGCATGAGATGCCAAGAATACGGGCACACCAGAACATTTTGCCGTCACAAACCACGATGTGTGAAATGCGGTCAACATCATCCTAGTGATAGGTGCCAGAAACCACTTGAAGAGCCACCTGTTTGTGCGTTGTGCAGTGGCAATCATCCTGCGAATTATAGGGGATGCGTAGTGCATCTAGAGTTGCAGAAAAGAAGACTCAATGTGTGGAGCCAGGCCACTTCGAGTAGAGAGGTAACAGAACACCTGCCTCCAGAGGCGAAACACGACCGTCTTACTTACACCGTCCCTATCTCGGAAAAACTACTCAACATGACTTACGCACAGGCAACGTGTACTAAAACCACACATTACAACACAACACCACAATTCACAACTGCTCAAACGACGAGTGTAACTCCTCACTACACAATCTCTCACAATATTGCTCCTCATCATACAACTCAAATTACAAATACCAAAACTTCAAATGAATCTCCTCGTTATGTAATCCTTCACAATATCATTCCTCATCATACGACTCCTCAAATTACAGATCCTCAAACTTCAAATATATCTCCTCAATACTCTACTCCTTATACTACAAGTATAACTCCTCAGCACTCAATAAAACAAACGAGGATAATCCCTGACCGTTCAGTACGTCATTATACCCAATCTCAATACACGTCAATCTCATTCTCAAGACCTCATCACACAACATCTAATACACAATCTAATACTCCAGATCTCTCATTATATTTTAATTCCTTCTTTAATGATCTTAAATCTATAATAACTCCGCTCATCACTCTTCTCACCACGCTAATTACCAAATTTATTCCTCATGTTAGTCCCTAATTCTATCTCACAACACTCTCTAAAAATCCTTCTTTGGAATTCAAATGGAGCCCTACACCGAAGGAATGAACTTGACATTTATTTAAATGAAAATGACGTTGACATTGCATTACTAACAGAAACTCATTTTACTCAAACTACAACATTTTACATACAAGGGTATCTAGTGTACCGCGCTGACCATCCCAGCGGTACTGCCCGTGGTGGCTCGGCAATAGTCGTTAAACGAACATTATACCACTATCCTCTTCAAATGACTGCCTTACCAGAAATTCAATTATCAACTATTTCGGTTGAAATCGATCACACCAAAATTTCTATTGCCAGTGCATATAGGCAAAGAGTTTCACAGGAAACGTTTACAGACATACTTGCCAGCTTAGGACCTAAATTCTTATGTGGAGGAGATTTTAACGTCAAGCATCCTCGTTTCGGCAATAGGACCAATAATTCTAGGAAAATCTCTTTTTAATACATGTATGGAACTGGACTATAACTGCATACTACCACCTGAACCGACGTACTGGCCGACAGACATAAACCGTCAACCAGAATTACTTGATTTCTTTATAACATCTGGCCTACACACACTGCACCATCATATCTCTATTAGTAACGACTTATCATCAGACCATTCAGCGGTTATTTTTTCTCTCTCTAGACACATGTTTACTACCAACCACACACCTACACTAACTCCTGGGCCAATATTAATTGATAAATTTCATTCCATTATTAATAAGACAATTAATCTAAACACAAGATTAAAGACGGAAAATGATATTGACAATGCAGTAGAGACGCTTACTAAGAATGTACAAACTGCCGCATGGCAATCAGCACACAAGTACGAGACCAACTGCGACAAACATTACTTACCCCCGGAAATACGATCACTTCTAATTGAAAACCGACGTGCTCTCAACCAATGGAAAAGATCTCGCTATCCTAGTGACAAACAGCTACTAAACGCACTTTCTAACAAACTTAGAAAACTTATACAACAATACAAACAGGAAACTTACAAAAAACATCTGACCATCTTACAGACAAGTAACAATACTCTCTGGCAACAAACCCGAAAGATACAAGGATACCACCAAACAAAGACTCCACTCCGTAAACCAGACAACTCATGGGCTAGAAGCGATAAAGATAAAGCAGACTTATTTGCTACTCATCTTACAGACGTATTTCATCCACATGAAGACTTGCCTGACCAACAGCACTACTCAGACGTCTAACAAATCCTCATTTCTCCTGTTCCCCTTTCTCTACCTCCTCCCCCTATAACTCCTTCGGACATAGAATTTGGTATTAAAAAATTACCTCGCAGAAAATCTCCTGGTTTTGACCTAGTCACACCTAAAATTGTATGACTTCTACCCAAAAAAACATTAATCATCCTGACAGCTATTTACAATTCTATCCTTCGACTTACTTACTTTCCTCTAGTATGGAAATTTTCAATCATAAAAATGATACCGAAACCAAGCAAACCTTTAGACCGAGTCACGTCCTATAGGCCTATCAGTCTTTTACCCTTATTTCCCAAATATTTGAAAAATTATTATTAAAACGGTTCTATCCATTTTTAGAAGCAAACAATATTATTCCTAATCACCAATTTGGATTTAGACCTGCACACTCTACCATACAACAATGTCATAGAGTGATTGATACAATTGCAGTGGCATTGGAAAAGAAGGAATTTTGCACAAAAGCTTTCTTAGACGTCTCACAGGGCTTTGATAAAGTGTGGCATGATGGTCTACTTTGTAAAATTAAACCGATCTTTCCGTATACATACTATTTAATCATCAGATCGTATCTTGAGGATAGATTTTTTATTGTTAACCAGGATGGTAAATAATCCGACTATTGCCGAATCGGCGCAGGAGTACCGCAGGGCAGTATTTTAGGTCCGGTTTTGTACTCAATTTACTCTTCTGATATTCCACAGACACCAGGCACATTACTCGCAACTTACGCAGACGACACTGTCATACTCTCGACTGACTCTAATCCGATCACAGTATCTCAGAAAGCACAGATTAATTTAAATCTTCTACAAGACTGGCTTGATAAATGGCACATAAAAATTAACATTCAAAAATAAAATCGGGTTACATTTACACTTGCCCTCCACTTACACTTTACAACACCCCTTTGCCAAATCATACAGAGACAAAATATCCAGGACTCACAATGGACAGACGGCTGACCTAGAAATTACACGTGACTACATTAAAAAAGATATTGAACCATCGATTGTCACTACTAAGACGAATGCTACACCATAAAAACAAACTATCACTTTCTAACAACCTATCACTTTACTTTTCGCTAATGCCCCCGTTTATCACCCTCCCCTCCCCCCCCCCATACTAGAGATGGGCAGTACTCGATTACTTTTATGATTTGAGGACTTTTATTAGAAAAAAGTCCACAAAACAAAACCTGACCTCACCTAACCACCCAGTGTTGGGACGATTATTATGTTTTTTTTTGGGGGGGGGAGCACTTTTTATAAAAATAATGTCGAATTTGAGATTGCGCTCCCTCCCACTCTCCCGCATCGACTTTTTGAAACTTTTCCGATTTAATCGATAACAGGGTCGACTATTATGTTTTCGGGGTAGCTTATTATGAAAATACTGTCGAATTTGAGAATAAAATTATTATAATAAAATTATGCAAAGTACTGTGGGAGGGGGCGCAATCTCTA